TAGCTTAAAAATGACGTCATTGTCAAATAAATTAACAAAATCGGATATTTCCATATTTTACATGTTTGATTGTTATCAGACAATTTACAATTTGGTGAGACAGGCCATTAATCAATCTCATTTACTAATTCAAGTGACTGACAAAACACATTAGTCCTTTACCTTTAAGATAAAAATAAAAACAGCATATAAACATTAAGTAACACCAACAATATACACAATAATGGAGTACAATGTGTAAAACACATCTGAAGAGCTGGCGACAAACAGAGGTAGGTACCTTGACTATGGACTATTAGAAAAGAGTCTCAGTAAAGCAAAATATAGATGATTTGTTGTCAGTTTCATGCATATTCGAAAATAAAGTTGCAAGGATTCAAGTACAAAGTGCAACATTTATACATGGACAAACCACTTATAGGCAATTGAATACATTATAGAGACCATAGACAAACATATTAAGGACTAAAGACAATACAGAGTCCACAGACAAACATGTAAAGGACATTAGACAATATAGAGCGCCCATAGACAAATGAGTAGGGCATTATCGTGAGCACCGACCGTGCGGGTGCAGGGGGCGCAGCTCGCGCTGCTCACCTGGCTCGCTGCTGGCACCCCCCGCGCCCCCCGCCGCACCGCCAGACCCCACCGGCGCCGCCAGGCAGTACATCACTGTAGCTGAAACAAACATTCATTGAATTACTTGTCTTTAAAAAAAATTAAATTTCACATTAATAAAGTATACTTACATGAATAAATAAGTGCTGGAAATATTGGTTCATTTCTTTCTTGAGCAGTTTCAACCAATATCCTTAATGGACCCTTTGGAGTTAATACGGCTACAAGATCTAAAAAAGTGGATTAAAAGAAGCTTTTACCATCTTTAAAAAAATCTATAATATACACACTTTCTACTTAGTATTAACAATGGTATATTTTAAATTAAAATACATGCTAATTTGTTTATAACTTACCCCAAATAGAAATAACAGCTAAGACAGCCCATGTTGTCCATTCTGGTAGGTATTTGATGAAAACAAGAGCCATTAAAGCTGCTATGAATATGAGATAAGCTTGTTGAAGCCTCAGCGGTCCCTTCCAGTGGATCACTATCATACCCATCACTCCAAAGTTCCACATTACGAAAACTAAAGTTATAAAATCCATTGGTATGTTATAGGCTCGTAATGCCTCCCTGAAAAAAAAATCACTTAAAACAAAGAAAAACAACCTTCTACTATAGATACATGATTTACAACAGGTTCTTTATAAAATTCATGCCACTACAATTAATTGAAGAAAATGTAGAATATGTTAAAATAGAGAAATCAAAAATGTAATATTCAGTATGATTTTTAATCAATGCATAAACTTTAGGGGATATAGAATATAAACAGTTACTGTTTCTGTACAAAGTATATTCCATTCATTTCCTCCATTAAGAATATCTTGCATAGCATAATCATAGCCAAGAGCTTATTTATTAAACACTAACTGTTGCTCACAACACCATCCACATTAAAATAAAAAAAAAAATACACCCTGGTACTCACTTATAACATAACTTTTTAATGATAAAAAAAAAATAATTGGCCTAGTAGTTTGTGAGTTATTTCAATAAATCCAAAAATGTAAATATTTTTATAATATCAGTATAGATATAGAATAAAAAATAAGAATCAAATACTCACTCCATATACAAATATGAGAACAAAAACAGCAACATTAGAGAGGATAGAATGAGCCAGCCGTGAATTATCTTGTAACATCTTTTCTTATATAAAACAATGAGCAAAACAGTCATAAGAGCTATCACACTAAGCAGGATCATTGAGTTTGCTAAAGCATTCCATACTTTTGTCACTGCATATGGACTCTCTTCATGAAACGGTGTATAAGCTCTGAAATAAGATAATTGTTAAATGATAAATAAAGAAAACACACCTTATATTGTCTAAGACACTTCTTTTGTATAGGAATTTTTAATTGGTCTAGTGTATTATGAAGATCCAAATTTAAGAAACATTTCTTCAAAACACACAGTAACTTTTTATAATTATTTATGTTGTCCCTTAGTATATATTTCTCTTATAAAATCTATACTAGGGCTCTTTTAGTAACAACTAAATAAATATCTAGTGCTTATACTTACAAGTAAACATCTTTGACAGAATAGAAGTTGATTGAAGATATTGTCGCAACTACAACAAGCATACAGAGAGTCACTGGAACAAACAGCTTGATGACATGCCGAGCACCATACTTCAGTTCCAATTCTTCAACCTGTGACTCCGCCTGCACTCCTGGGTTATTGTTACTAGGCCCTGGGTTCCTATGGTCACCTGACCCACCCCCTTCTCTTGGCTCCACACTCTACAAGAAAATACATATTTAGATTACTTAATTATTATTACTTACTGTAATATGTATTGATACAATGAAAATGAAATTTAGGCCATTAATGGTATAAACCATCAAATTTCATGTATGAAAAGAAGCAACCTAGTATACATTTTTTAGCATGATTTCTAGTCTTTATCTATCTAGTGATTAATGTGATCCCACATTAAACATTTTTTCATGCATACATATAATTTATTAAGCACAACAATAAATTGAATACCTTCTCACACCCACACATTCCATTTTAAGAGAACATTTGTATAGCTCTATATATAGTATAGTTCTAAAACATCTCCCAAATGATAAATTAATCAATTGGAACTACATACACTCTATTATGATTTATATTTTGTATAATTGGAGAAAATTACATGTCAATAAAATTATTTCTGTAATGTTTAACTATCATGTTTAGATAATTGGATTACAAATGCATTAATATGGCATGTGTGAATATGGTTTTTTTTTTGCCTTGTATAAATATTACGATAATGTGCAAATAAATTTTTGGTATGGTATTGATAACAAATATTGTGCCCAATATGATTCATTAACAACAAGCAGGATATCGACTTAAAGATTACCACCTACACCATAGTTTCGCTGGCTTTCAGTCTTGGTTTTTCTTTTCCTTGCAATGCGTTCAGCTATCTCCTTGTCAGGTCGGGCTTCAGCTATGTGGCCATCCATGAGTGCTGTATGCTCGGTTGCTGACGCCTCTGAATCACTACTAGTGTCGCTCATTAATGTAAAATTAAAGTCTTGGACATTATGTTGAAAAACCTTTGTAAGAAGGTCATTAATATTTATCAATTTCAACTGAAACCACTTTTATTGCTAATTTTTTGTTAATATTATACACTTTACGGTACTGTTGCCACCACAGAATGAAAAACTATTTTTATAAACGTCGTAAAACGTCAATCATATCAGATATTACCACAGACTACACTACGGTTACCAACAGATTATAAATTCAAATCGTTCTGATGAATCTCTCGTTAACGATGAAAATGATAAAAGAATGGGACCGCCTATTTATTTGTGGCTTACGGATTTTGCTATTTTCATACGATTTTACGAAAAAGGAAAAAACTAGCGAATATATTAAATAAAACGACAGTGGTGGATTAATAATGTTCTCCATTTATTGTTTTCTTTTAATATTTTAACATCCTTATACAAAGCTGAAATGGTGCTCTAAGGAGAGAAAATTAATTCTAAATTATGAAATTAGAGGTAGAGTCCCTCCGGAGTGCCTTCTTTCTTACGATACAGCACACTCTCCTTAGATTTCTTGAAGTCTTCATTGGTGACTTTCATACGACGCTCTCGTAGCGCCATTAAACCAGCTTCCGTGCATATTGCCTGATCAAAGTAAACAGTAAATATTACATATTATAGCACTACTATAAATAATATCTCAAAGGGAACGAGAAAACAATTGAACTATATTATACCATTACAAATGCTGCAAAAATAAAATACCTTTATATCCGCTCCAGAGAGATCATCTTTGGACATAATCAGCTCAGAGAGATTGACATCATCAGCTAAGGTCATTCTCGATGTGTGTATGGTGAAGATTCTTCTCTTAGTCTTTTCATCAGGAAGTGGGAACTCTATCTTACGGTCAATACGCCCAGGTCTGATTAGAGCTGGATCAAGAGTTTCTATTCGGTTTGTAGCCATTATGACCTATATAAAAAATGTTATGCTTACATGCATTTAAAACAAAACCATAAAAGATATAAGTGTATGCTTACCTTGACATCTCCACGGGAATCAAACCCATCTAGTTGATTCAATAATTCTAACATAGTTCTTTGAATTTCTCTTTCACCACCAGAATTAGAATCATAACTGTAAATTGTAAAATTTATTAGTATTCAAATCATATAACATACACAAAAGAAGAACGAAATAATAAAAATTGTATAAACAATACCGTTTCGTTCCAACTGCATCAATTTCGTCAATGAAGACAATTGATGGTGCATGTTCTTCCGCAACTCGGAATAACTCACGAACTAATTTGGGACCATCACCCTATGAAAATGGGTCACAATAATAATTATAATGGAAAAAAAAAATAAACCTAAATATAAAAACAAAATATCTAAGCAAAATTTGTAATTTAGTCCCTTATAAATTAAAGGAGTTCATACTATAACTCTGGGAACATTATAAAATAGATACTTTAAACCGGAGATATGAATTAATTACCAAATATTTTTGGATCAGCTCAGAGCCAACAACTCGTAGGAAGGTAGCGGATGTTTGGTTAGCCACTGCTTTTGCCAAAAGTGTTTTTCCTGTTCCTGGTGGACCATACAATATCACACCTTTGGGTGGCTTGATACCCATCTCTTCATAATACTCAGGATGTGTTAGAGGCAGTTCAACCGATTCCTACAAAGGTAACAGAAAATTAGCGACTAATAAATGCAAATTTAAGAATTACTTAACATAAATATTGAATATCTGTTATTTAAATTACTATACTACTATCATAAATGCAATATTATGGATGGATAAATCTTCCATGAAATTGTAGAACACAGTCTGGAAGAACATGTGTTCTTGTTGTGTCATAATACTGAGTTTTTTTTTGTTTCACACAAAAGAATGGGCAAAAGGTATTAAAAACAAGATGAAATAGTTTTAACTACAACAGAATTAATACATACTTTGATTTCCTGGATCTGTGTATCCAATCCACCAATATCAGCATATGTCTCTTGTGGTGCTTTCTCTAGTTTCATCACAGACACCATTGGATCTGTGTCATCACCTAATACACCCACTACAGCATGAACCTACAGCATTTTTTTTCATTATATACACATTTAGGATTTACAGTGCAATAGTATGAAATTGGAACAAAGGAATAAAACAAGCTTTGAACATAATCAAAAAGAAAACTACATAAATGGCGCTTTTGTCAAATAAAACATTTTTTTTTTGTTACCTTATGATTCAGCAGGACAGAGCATCCAGGCTCTAATTGATCTTTGTCCACAAATGAAAGAATGCTGACATAATGTTCACTTCCTACTGATGTGGAAACAATTGCATGATTATCATCAATGATCTCCTCTAAGTTACCGACAGACATCGGTGTCCCTCTCAGGTCATCAACCTGTATGTATGAAGAAAAATTATTAAAACACAACCTTTGGGATAATTCTATTTAACATCATCTACACAAGAACATAAACAAAGGCGCACCTTAGACCTTTCTTCCTCAATTTTCTCCTCCTGCGGCTTCAACCTCTCCTGGTTACGAATAAATTCTTCTTCCATCAAAAGATAATCTTTGATTCGTTCCAATTTCAAGAGTTTCAATCTGCATTTTGTATGCGGCGTGACTTGTGGCAATTTCAATGCTGCATCGGGTCCCTTAGCTTTGCGCTTCTTTTTGCCCACTCTTGTTGGAATTGGTGGTTCATATTTCTTCTTCTTATCCTTGTCATCTTTCTTGTCTCCGCCACTTCCACCACCTGATTGATTTTGGCCCTACAATAAAATAAAAAAGGCGTAAACATCGAAGTAAAAATTGTTTTATACAGCATGTTTAATCCAAATTTTACCATATTACTGAGTTTTAAGGCCCTAGACTTATTTTCTTAGCTACAATACAAAAATTAAAACAGTCACGGCAGCATCTGATTACAAAGCGAAAATTTTAACTTTTTAATGATAGTGATGTCCCTAGATGCGTCTACGCGTGCAGAATGTATTACCAGAAAATCGATTATTTTTAACTTCATTTACCGATTGTTCGAAGTACACAAAAATTACGATTTTAAATTAAAATATGGTAAATAACGGTGCAGCAAATACCTGAAAATAGACGATTTTAAGAGCATAGATTAGGCAAACGTTGTGATATTAAATACAATGTTTTATTTAAGATAACTTTGCATGCAAAGTAACGTAAATGGTTTGACACTTCAACGTGTCGACCAGTCGACTGTCGACATAATTTTGTGCATTACGAACATTTTCATGTACTATTTTAACACTATAATTGATAACTTTTTCATTTTTCTATAATATTTCTTTGGTGATTCTTGTAAAAAACGTAAAATGGGGGAAAAATCATTCCAATTGTTTTGTACGCTATAAATTTGTGAAAAGACGACTGGTGAGACATTTGTTGTAAAAGTGCTTAATTTAAGTAATCAAAATGGTTTTAGCAGATTTAGGTCGTAAAATAACTACTGCTTTGCAGTCCCTTAGCAGAGCTACAATCATCAATGAAGAGGTAATAAAAAAAAATTACGCGAATACAAACGAGTGACAAGCAAAAACAATTGGCATATGTTTAAAAACTTCCATAATGGGTTTCAGGTATTAAATTCTATGCTGAAGCAGATTTGTGCTGCTTTATTGGAAGCTGATGTAAATATTCGTTTAGTAAAAAATCTTAGAGAAAATGTTCGTGCTGTCATTGATTTTGATGAGATGGCTGGAGGGCTCAATAAACGGCGGATGATACAATCAGCTGTATTCAAAGAACTTGTTAAAGTAAGTATTTAAAATATTTAGTTATACAATTTTAGTTAACTGGCTTAAGTTTTTGCAACAACAAATTGTATAACCACTCAACTAGCCTAAGATACAATGTAATATTTAATTAGCAATATTCCATAATCTCAGGAAATACTTAAATTAATAAATCAAAAAGCTTTGATATTAGAATTAACACAATATTTTATTTTCAGTTAGTAGATCCTGGAGTAAAGCCATATCAGCCAGTGAAAGGAAAGCCCAATGTTATAATGTTTGTAGGGCTGCAGGGGTCTGGTAAGACCACAACTTGTACAAAACTTGCTTACCATTATCTAAGAAAAAATTGGAAATCATGCTTGGTTTGTGCTGACACATTCAGAGCAGGTGCTTATGATCAAGTGAAACAGAATTGTACCAAGGCAAGGATACCTTTCTATGGCAGGTTGGTAACAATTACATTATTCTTTCAAATCTTTACCATCATGCCTCAAAAAAATAAATACAAATTATTGTTCGGTTAATAATTTTGCTTTTAAACTATTTATTTCCAAAAATGCTTAACTGATCTTGATGAAATTTGGCATACATTTAGAATAGTCTGCAAGAATACATAGTCTACTTACTGAGTTTCTTATTTTTGTAGGGAATTGCAGGGCAAAACCTAATACAATATATTTGACTTGCTGTGCTTTATCTTGACAATTTTCCTGTTTTTTTAGTTACACAGAAGTAGATCCAGTAGTAATAGCCTCAACAGGTGTGGAGATGTTCAAGAAGGAGGGTTTTGAAATGATTATAGTGGATACAAGTGGTCGTCACAAACAAGAGGAGTCACTGTTTGAAGAGATGTTGGCGGTGGCAAATGCTGTTGTAAGTTTAATAACAATTTACTATATTTTGACCTTGTCAGTTAACACTTCCACTGCCACTGATGTGCCTGACAAGTACATTTTCATATAAACAATAAAAATAGCATGCAATTTGTTGTGATAATTGTTTTTTTCACTGATAGCAAAAAAACAGTGGATCATTGACTGACAGAAAGAGAATTTATACATTTTAAAGAATTAGATGGACTATTAGGAGTTAAAGCTTTATTTCTTTTTATTTATAGAAACCTGACAACATAATTTTTGTGATGGATGCCACCATTGGACAGGCTTGTGAATCACAAGCCCGGGCTTTCAAAGACAAAGTTGATATTGGTTCTGTTATTATAACTAAGCTGGATGGACATGCCAAGGGTGGTGGTGCATTATCAGCGTATGTATTGTTAAATGTTTTTAACCATAGTACCTCAAATCTTTGTAAAATATCTTGCAACAAATATTTTTAATCCCTTAACTATCTATAACATATGCATGTGTGAAAAATATCTAACTTTTCATTTTCTACCTCATTGTTTAAATAATGCAAACTATGTTGGTGAATAAATTAATTAATATGAAATAATGGTGAATTGCTGAATCTATTTTGTTTTTTGAATTTTGTTATAATATTACACAAATTAAGGGAAGTCATTGGAGCCAAGGATATACATATAATTGAACAAAATACCGAATTTAAAATTAGAAGTAAAAAAAAAAAAAAAAAGTGAGAAACGTATTTGTAAAATTATATTTGAATTGTGATATTGTATGTTTGTTTGTATAAATAAATAAATAAAATAAATAAATAAATGCCAGCAACATCTGTTACGTGAATTGTGGTCACCTCACTATTTTGATGATTTCATCTGGCCACTTGCTTGTTTACCACTTTATAATATTAAAACAAAGGAATAATTGAAGTGTATTATATGAATGTGCTTGTATACAGGGTTGCGGCAACACAGAGTCCAATCATCTTTATTGGTACCGGTGAACACATTGATGACTTGGAACCGTTCAAGACAAAGCCATTTATTAACAAATTGCTAGGCATGGGAGATATTGAAGGCCTCTTGGACAAAGTCAATGAACTAAAACTGGATGACAATGATGAGCTGTTAGAAAAACTGAAACACGGTCAATTCACTTTAAGAGCTATGTATGAACAATTCCAAAATATTATGAAAATGGGCCCCTTTTCACAAATTATGGTAATGTTAATAGAAATATGTTATCTAAAATATATTACTTAGTTTAAAATTTTAATAAATAAATATTTTTCAGGGAATGATACCAGGTTTATCCCAAGACCTTATGTCTAAAGGCAGTGAACAGGAATCTATGGCGAAACTAAAACGCCTTATGACAATAATGGATTCTATGAACGAAGGAGAGCTGGATCATCGCGATGGAGCAAAACTTTTCACCAAACAACCCACCAGAATCACGCGAGTAGCTCAAGGTGCAGGTGTAACCGAAAGGGATGTCAAAGACTTGATTGCTCAGTACACTAAATTTGCGGCGGTTGTTAAGAAGATGGGTGGCATCAAGGGGTTGTTCAAAGGAGGAGATATGGCAAAGAATGTTAATCAAACTCAAATGGCTAAACTTAATCAACAAATGGCAAAAATGATGGATCCCCGCATATTGCAGCAAATGGGCGGCATGTCTGGTCTGCACAATGTTATGAGGCAACTCCAACAAGGCTCCAGCGGAATGAACAGTTTGATGGGTGGAAAATGACAGTAACTATTGGATATTGTGAATACCAGCTATAGAAAGTCCGTAGCATGTCAATAAACGTTGCTTAAAATATATGTTTTACTCTGTAGTAACATTTTCAGTATCAACTTTACATAATTTTTAACATATAAAATACAAATATGCGATTTATAAGAATGTGTTCAAATGGTCCATGAGTTTTACTTAAATTGTAACGATTATAATTTAAATTTTCTATTAGAGTTTTATTAAAAATATTGCTCCTTCATTCTTTTAACCTTTTAAAATAGAAAGAGCTATTCTGATTTCTCTTCGCCTTGGCTTATACAGCAGTGCTGAAAATAATGCGCGGCCTAGAACTACCAATCTAAAGTATTGCGAGAATTAATAATTCGTTTTTAAATGAAACACATATTTAAATAATTTTACAGTTAACATTTGTTTTCCATTCAAATTATCTTGAAAAATGGATTATTTTAAAATAACCAATGATGCGTGAAACGGAAAACTACTTAAAAGTGATGTCATGTGTCAATGCCTGACATTTGTAAATCAAAATTTTTAATGACATAATGTAAAGCAACAATAATAAAAAGTTTAAATCCAATAAAAAATCGTGTGAAAAGGGTTCTATTGTACTCTTCAACTTTTGCGTAAAGAAGCAAGTACTGATATATTTTACGTGATGTCTACGTGCACATGTAAATAATCTATTGTTTTGCATTTTGAAAATACAAAAAATGGCTTGTAATTCTTGTTTTAAGGCATTTTCTATATTCCGACAAGAGGTAAGTAAATTTCTTTACATAATTTGAGTAAAGTAAGTGTATCTGATAGTTGCAGCTAATATAATTTATTAACAATTTTATCTTACAGAAAGGTTGTCCAAATTGTGGGTTCAGCTATTGTTCAAAATGTTTGAACTACAAAATGTTTGTAAAAAAAGTCAACGAAGAAAAAAAGGTAAGAGCACTTTGCGAATAGCAAAGATAAGACAATAGAAAGTTATAAAACTGTTTATTTATTTACTTAATTGTTTTGCAGGTTTGTCTAAAATGCTCACGTCTGTCAATAAATAAATCAGATAAAGCACATGTCATTCCTCCTGATGCTTTTAATAGGTAATATATAAAAAAAATGCTATTTCCTGTCTTTTGATTATTATGCTATATGTAAAATATAAAATTGATATCTAAAATTAACTTTGCCAGGAATAATGCCTTATCCAAAGACAATTCCAGTACTTCCAAACAAAATAATGTTGAAACCAATAGTATTGATGAAGAAATTAAAGAAAGACTGAAGAAATTAAAACAATCTGCTCCATCAAATATTGAAGTTAGTAATAAGGATATAGCAGAAAGATTACAGCAATTAAAACAAGATTCTGTCAGTTCTAATGATGTTAAATTAAATCCAAGTCTAGCATCAGCAAGTGGTTTATCTGTTACAGTTCTGGATGCCAAGGTATGGGTACTTTTAGAACATATATTTACTTACCAAAACTCTCTTACCTTTTTATCTATCAAAGAAAAAGAAACTTAGAAAAATGTTGTACATTTATACACTAGCTGTTCCCCTGCAACTTCATCCGCATAAACTTATGAAAATGTTATTTTATTGTTTCATCATCATCATCATCATCATCATCATCATCACCAGCTCACTATACATCCCCACCGAGGCGCTTGGAGCCTACCCTAAGTAAGGGTAACTAGGCCATAGTCAACCACGCTGGCCAAGTGCGGGTTGGTTGACTTCACACATATCTTTGAATTTCTTCACCAATATGTGCAGGTTGCATCACGATGTTTTCCTTCACCGTAAGAACGTCGAGTAAATTATGTACATATGAGAATTCGAAAAAATCGAAAATCACATTGGTACATGGCGGCGGGATTCGAACCCAAGACCTGTAGATTACAAGTCAAGTGCTCAAGCCACTGAGCCACCAACACTCTCATTTATTGTTTACATGTGTCAAATAATCAATTGCAAATGTCAAAGTATGAATTACCTTACTATGGCAATTTTGCTTTCTTGATATTGGCAGCAACTTATGGTCTCTTTCTCCCATTAGGGTTTTTATCCAAAATATTAACCCCTATGTTTAATGGCGTGAAAATATATAGTCTAATCTAAAGCATGACATAAGTGTAGGGCTTATTACAAGAAGATGTATTCAAAAATATGCTATAATTGCTGACATCTTAGGCAACAAAGAAGTGTGTGTTTACGCTTTATTATAATACATTTCACAATGATTACAGAATGATGAGACTGAAATTCTTTATTGAAGTCAATTTAGCATAGGCTATCATGTATTTATAATTTCAATTTTTCCTTATTATTTCAGAAGAAGAGAAGTGAACAAGAGGAAGTTAATGATTTACTAGTGGAGCTGGAGGCGAAATCTAAAATCGACACAAAATATAATGAAGATTTTGATAATAAACTTTCCGAAATTGAGATGAGATTGCAAAAATTACGAAGTTCCAACACAAATACTGACATTGGACAAACATTAAAAAATAATGTACCAGATAATGAACAAACATCCAGCCAAATATTAGGAAAGGTTAATTAATTTATATTATTAAGAATCAATTACACAATTACAGAATTAAATCTATGTAATATTCACGTTAAAAGGTGTCTCTTTTCATACAATGAATTAATAGATTTTTTTCTTTAATGAGATAAGTTACCAAAGCAATGTTTCCTCATTTATAATGTACATAATATTATATTCATCTCCCTTGTCTTATCCCACTCATGTGAGGTTTGTACACAAGGTATAAACATTAATGTTTGTGCACTTTTGAGAATATACCCTACATGGGATATATAAATCAATGTAAACAAAATGTTTTTATAGCTAAATACTTAAAATTCACTTAAAAAATATACATATATTAAATAACAATAAACAAGAGTAAGATAATATTTATGTTTAGTATGATTTTTAAAATAAAATTGAAACTGGTCTTCCACTTTTGCCATTCTTTATAAAAGATTTATAATTTAGGACAAGTATAACATCTCTGCCTACTCTACTGTGTATAAATACACATGATTCATTTAATTACATGTTTGTTTATATTGCAGCAAATAAAAACTGAGCAAGAGGAACTTAATGATTTGTTAAAAGAATTGGAGGAGGAATCAAAAATGGAGGCTCAAATTAACAATGATTTTGTAATGAAACTAAATGATCTTGAGAAGAGATTGAATAATTTAAAGAAATCTCAACCAAGTACTGATGAAGATGCAAATGTAAAACATAAAGACAGTCCAAATGAACAAACAGTATTAAGAGAAATTTTAGGAAAGGTGAGACCAAATTATTCTAGTGTAGATTATTTTATACATATATTATTCTAGCTATCTTACTAATATTATAAATGCAAAATTTTGTATGGATGGATAAATGGATGTTTCTTAGAAGGTATCTCCGGAACAGCTAAACTGATCTGGATGCAATTTGGCACATATATTGCAAATAGTCTGGAGAACAGAGAGGTATACTTTTGTCTTTTTATTTCCCTGTGGACAGAGTCGCGAGCGAAAGCTAGTACTATTATAAAGAGGAAAGAGTTTTGTTGTAACAAATAAACTCAAAATCTACTTCTTTTGTTATTATTTATTACTAGATTTTTTCAATTCTGTGCAGAAAATGAGGGGCTGGAGGTGGTATTAGTAATATGTAAAAATTTATTTGTGAAACACTGATATTTTTATTTCAGATACAATTAGATGTAACTGGTATAGATACAGAAGATATTTCTCCAGATATAAATGATGAGTTGCCATTTTGTGAAATATGCAATGAGGATGCCAAAGTTCGCTGTAAAGGTTGCAAATACTTGTACTGTATAAGATGTTTCAATGAACATAAAGACGAAGATTGTAATGAATATGAAATTTATAATGCACCAAAATAGACTATTACATTGTAACTTTATTTTTTTTTATAGAATATGTGTATGTAAATGATAGATTATTGTCAATGTACTGATTTCGATTATCTATAATTTTATATTTCCATATGTTATACACAAATTATTATAAACAATGCAATTATTATAAACAATATTAATGTAAAAATCAGGCTAATTTATTAATAAAAATATGAAACAAAATCTGTTTTATTTGTCTTGTTATGTTGAGAGGCGGTTGATTTATTTCATACCAAAGCACAACATTCTGAAAGGTTGCAAGTAGGCAAGCGGGCACTTTCACGGTTTACCCAAACACTACAGGTGTTTCCTGTTGGATCGGTAGGTAGGCATGGCATTTCCTTTGCCCATTAACATATAAAAAAGTAGTAGTTAAGTAGATTGAATGGGAAACGGAAATGCCAAATGACACCAAAATTAAAGATGGGTATGCGATCTCAAATAAGAAGACAAGGTTGAAATACTCGTGTTTCTCTATCTTTAAACAAAATAACATTCAATTATTTATATCGCTGATTCTAAAGTAATATCCTGAAGTCCCCCCCCCCTGAGCTGGTTGGTCAAGAGCTTGACAAATTATATTTACATATTTTGTCAAGCTCTTGAATTAACCCCCACTATGTGACCCCCTCCTGCCGCCAAAGCTGGATCCGCCCTTGATAGAAAGTATCTTTTTGCAGAGGCGAATGCTTCATGTATTCTCCGCGCCCCGGAAGTCCTACAATTTTATTTGCGGCAACACCAGGCAACACTACAATTCGATCAATAACTTTTGATTTGAACACCTTTTCTCTTTAGCTCGCAATATCCTTATTGTTTTAATTCTTTTTAAAATCAGGGTTTTTAAATATCAACTCCTGCTAAGAGATACGAAGAAATGTCTTGTAATTATTGCGATGTAAAATTTTCTGTACTTCGCGTCGAAGTGAGTAATTATTATACCAATTCAAGTATATTTTATTTCTATCTTTTGATTTCAATAATATTTTTCCAGAAACGTTGTCCAAGTTGCGGTTTTAGTTTTTGTCCAAAATGTTTGGATAATACAATTTTTGTCAAACAATTAAACACGCATAAAAAGGTAAAAGAAGTAATGAAATACTATAGTTAAATGTTATTTTTACAAGTCGGTTTATTTTTTTTTTTCAGGTTTGCGTTAAATGTTCACAATATAGTTCATCGGGAGATGTGCACGTGATACCTCCTCCTGATTTTTGCAAGTAAGTCATGTTAAATTAAGTTAAAAAAAATATTAAAAATTAAATTATATTTTTAAAATAAATGTTACATAATTTGTTTCTATTATCGGATGTTACTAATTTTTAATAATTAAATTTTATTATTAAAACTTGTTAATTATTTCAGAAAAAATGAATCTGAAAAGAAAAATCCAACCAAGTCTAAATCAAATGCAAATAAGGCAGATGTAAACGCACCAAGTACTTCTGATGATCATAAAAAAATTAATAAACATGGTTCTGATAGAGCGGCTAACTCAGGGGTAAGTTAACTAAAACGTATTCACATCAATGATTGTAAATATTTTACCAGAATTATGCTGTAAAAGCAATAATTAGACTTTTAGTTCAATCTTTAACATGTACATTTGTTTTACATCATTATCAACCTGCCCTATGTGGGTGGGCACATAATGTGCTGCTCTTCATACATTTCTATTGCTATATAAGAAAATATTAGTCATTTATAAAATTATATGTACATACATACAAAGACCAAAGAATGTGATTTATGTGAATGTATGGTAAAGTAGTGTAACCATTCTGACTGTCATTGTTCCCAATAAAGTATGATGTCCTACAAGAGTAGAATGAGTGCATAACTAACTCATACCATCTTCAATCATGTCATTTATAATCAAGTGAATTTCAAGTACTGGTTTAATAGATTGTAATTGTGATTTCGAAATTAAAATAAATGTTTCTAGTAATAAATATAGCCTATAACTCGGTGACAAGATAGCTTTTTAATGATAAAATAAATTTTGTGTTTAACTTGTCACCAACAGTGCGGCAGGCAAAAAATTTCTTCTAATTAAAATAGACTATATTCAAATATTTTACAAATAACAAAAACCATATCGCGACTACATCTTGTACATGTCCCTTCTCCTTCTCTTGTTTTTCACTTTTTCAATAAGGAATAACACAAATGTCTTGGTGGCCAGTATGCAACCTCTTAGGCTGTATTCATACTGCTTGTCAGCCAAAGAGGTTGTATTTTGCACTCAACATGTGAACAGTTGTTTTTGAGTTTTATTCGTTACATACAAAAACTCAAATATTTTTACTTTATATTATACCTGCAGTAGCTCGCTTCTGTTCCCGCATGAAAAAGCAAGATTATACAAAATATAGCCTATGTTACTCAAAGATAAATTACTTTTCTAACTGTGAAAGAATTTTTAAATTGGCCCAGTAGTTTTTGTGTGAATGAAATACATACAAAAAACTAAAAATATAATTCTTTCCTCTTTATAATATTATTTTACTAGCTTTCGCCGGCAACTCCGTCCGTGTGGAATTGAACGAAAAAATAGTGAATAGCCTATGTGTTCTTCCAGACTATCCTCTACATTTATGCCAAATTTCATCAAACATTCATCCATCCATCTAAACTTTCACATCATACTAATATTATAAACGCGAAAGTTTAGATGGATGGATGTTTCTAGCCTAAACATCTGAACCAATTTAGATGAAATGTGGTATAGATGTAGAGGACAGTCTGGAAGAACACACAGGCTACTTAGTTTTTTAATTCCACGCGGATGGAGTCGCGGGCGAAAGTTTATAATATTAGTACAGATAAAAAATATGCTGTAATATTTGTTTTATAGCCATCAAGAAACGATTATTCAAGTGATGACTGGTCAGATGAATCTGATGATATGGACTTGGAGGCTTTTGCAAAAGGTCTAGAGATAGAAAGAGAAAATCAAAGGATTGCCAATCAAATACACAGGGAAAATTATCCCCATTTATATGACAAGTCACTACTTATTAAGATAGATCACACAAGATCAACAGATGAAATCCTCAGAGATGCTATAAAACAGGTATGTTCATAAAAATAAAAAACTGCTAAATAGCTATTGAAATAAGTTATATTAAATTTAACATATTAGTATTGCTTTCCCATCAAATGAAAAGACATTTGTTTGGAAGATGTAATGTATTATTATTAGTTGTATCTTTGCATCTACGGATTTAATAAGAGTGGTTTACAATCAGTTTTATAGTGAATAGTTTTTATTACAGTTACAAACAGGTGCGTGGGAGAATGTTGAAGTTAACCGCAATAGACCACCAAAGTGTACAATTTGTTCTACGAAAGCTCTGGTACACTGCAAAGGATGTGAAAGTACATTTTGCATGAAATGTTTTGATTTGCATGCAGATCCTGTTTGTAATAAATATGAAACTATTGAGCAACAAGAAGAGGATTGAATTTAAATTAATGCCAATATGGCTTCCAGTTCTAAAGATTTTAATCTTAGTTTGTTCTTTTGTCTATATAGGTAAGCATATATATTCACTAACACTCATACTATTACTATTTAGAATTTGCTTGCCCTCGAAATAAAATAATTGTATATACATCTTTTGCAATAATCATTTAAAAAATATCAGATAAAATACTCTTTAATATTAAAATAAAAGACTTCAATTATTTAATTCTTGTTTTATTCTCAAACTCACCTATTAGACTAGGTATAAATTTCGCTAAATCATCAGCTGTTTGTTTATATTCATTTTCTATCCAAAGGTCCTTTAATTTGTTTATAATAGGTCCATACATTTTTCCCGGAGGTACTCCATTTTCTTTAAGGATTTTTCCACTGATCGGGAACCGCGGTACTTCCCATTTATCAAATAATTGCACAAGCTCTTCATCTCCTCTGTATTTTAACACCTCTTTAGTATATTCTATGGCATCTTTTTGTTTCATTTTAGAATGCAAGACTAATTTTTCATATGGTCTGTAAACATATCATTATGTATAGTAATAAAAAAGATGTTGACAGTTGACAATGTTATGTTTTATATCAATATCAGTTTTAGCAATACTAGTATCCAGGGTGAGATATCACCAGTGCCCTATTTTTACCAGTTGTATAAGTTGGTAACAGGGTCATGTGAGACTTAGATATTTGCTGTCTTATGGGAAAATATTACACTTCTCTAAGAAGGTTAATATACATTGTTAAAAAATAAAATCAATTTAAACTTACAATAACCTCCTGGAATGATTCTTATCTTCCCTATGTTCAACTATAAAATATGTCATATCTCTGTCATAGCCAGAAAACTTCAGCCTGTTATGGAGAATAGTGACTGCATCAATGCTGCTGAGGAGCGCAGCCAAATAACTCATTGGATGTAGACCAAAATGTTTGCTTCTGTTTAGAACTCGATCTAGTTCTTTCAAATTAGGATCTGGGATACCTGATGAATAATATTGAATTTTAATATCCATATCATTGTATAATAACATGGTATTTGAATTATGATTGCTAATAATCTTGTGTACATTTGGTTGATCAACCGATGGGAATATATTCTCCATTAACTTGAATATTTGTACGAATTCAATTCGCATAATAGGAAAAAAATGCAATTGGTTCAAGCAAATGGTGGTCCAGAAATTAGAATTTCCCCAACATTTGGATAATTAAAATGACATATTAAATGAAGTAAACAAGCTGTTCAGTTAGTCCTTAATATTTCTAAAGCAAATTCATATAAACATAAATTCAATACTTACCAATGTATTCTCCAATACCCACATTCAACATTGTTTTTAGTAAGTCGCCAGCAAAATTCCCTTCCAATGTTTTCTTAAGCTCTGTCCATATTCTTTCCCCTGATATATTTTTCAATCCTACAACATTCTTCTTGATAATCTCAAGTGTGTCTTTATCATGATTATCTGGTGTTTCTGCTATCCGTCCGTAAAATCTAAAATACCTCATGATTCTCAGATAATCTTCCTTGATTCTTACATCAGCATCACCAACAAAGGCAACCCTTCTCTTCTTTAGATCATCATAACCAAAGAAGTAATCATAAACACTACCATCAAAACCTTAAAATAATCCTAGAGTTTAATTCATTAATTTTTTAACCAAAGCTAAAAATAAGATTAACTTTGATTGAAGCTTTTTATTAAATTATGTAATATTATAAATGCGAAAGTTTAGATTTATGGATGGCTGTTTGTTAAAATTTGTAGCCTAAACGGCTGAATGGATCTCGATGAAATTTAGCACAGATGTAGAACACAATCTGGAAGAACACAGGCTACTTATGTATGTTTGTAATTCCACACAAACGGAGTCACAAGCAAAAGCTAGTTATGTAATAAATCAATTTAACGAAGACCTGAATGTTCATAGATAATAATGTTTTAATTGAAATATATTGAGTAATATACCTAGAAACATAGAATTTATTGTAAGATCTCTTCTATTAGCATCTAGTTTCCAATCTTTGGTATATTGAACTTCAGCATGTCTGCCGTCTGTTATCATGTCTATTCGCAATGTTGTTATTTCAAAGTTTTCTTTGTCATTGATCCTGGGAGTAATGGTGCCATGCTTCTCACCGCTCATGTTGATCATTCTTATGTTTTCTTTATTGAACATATTTTTTAGCTCTTCTGGAGTTGCTGTAGTAGCAAAATCAAGGTCCTTTGGTGTTAATCCCATTAGTAAATCTCTGCAAAATTGACAAGAAAATCTTTTATGTTATGAAATTACTATTGATTAAAAGTTTTGTCATACTCTAAAGGAAATTTTGTGAGTTAAATAAAATTGATACCTCACTGCACCACCAGCTATACGAATTTCATATTGGTATTTTTCGAACAATTTCTTTAGATCTAGTACTTCATCAGTGAATATACTTTTAAATTCAGGTGTATCGAGTTGAACAACAATGGGATTTTCTCTACACTTCAATTCCATGTCAGTTTTCGAACGAAATCTTGGCGTTCGTAATTTTTTAGCTGAACAATAATTCTGCAAAATAAAACCTGCTATCAAGATCAGTTAACATTAAATATCTAAAATAATTATAATCAAAATAATTACCTCCACTTGAACTAACTTCAATATTTTAAAGGCCCTCGAATACAATGCGTTCATAACTGTAAATTAGCTAAAAACATATTTTTAAGCATGTGAAAACTAAACTATTTGAAAAGTTAGGAACACTGTTTAATTTTATTATTTTAATAAGAGAGCACACATAACCTCTACACTGCAAGTGACATTAGCAAAACATTACAGTGACATGAAGTAGTATAGAAATACGTTTCTTTTGGCAGCCGGCACTTTATATGAAATAAAAAATGATATTTAATGTCAAGTTAATAGTATCATAGCTTGTCAGTTCACTTTGCGTCTTTACTTTACTTTTTATTTTGCCTCACAGAATTCTGTTGATATTTCTACACCAACTGTAAAGTAATACTTTTAATGTGGTTTTGATAAAGAACTGTTTCAATATATTTTTTGTGATTCACATTCAAATGTGATTCAACATTTATTAACATCGCTAATCGGTATCTCCCTTTTTAAAATGTAAAACGCAAATATTTTGTATTTCGTAAAGATATTTTACTACAGACGTGGAAGGGTAGCATAGCCACTTTAAGAAAATTAACTGAAATGGTTGTCACAACTATATAATAGATTACATAGTGACATTTATGTCATTCTGAAGTAATTTCATTCAACATTCAATGGGTACTAGGGTATTTCATTATATAGTATTACAAAACATTTTCTTTAAAATCTAGTAAAAGCAAATAATAGTCAATATCAGGTCTATTTATAATTTTAATTTTTACATAAAATTTTTAATTTTCCTATCTACCTAAAAATATTGGATCTTAAATAACATTATTTTTAAAGCATTCCTACATTATATACTTTTCAATCCTTCTGAAGTTATTATAAAATGTGTAGATGAGTTTGGTAAATCTGGTGCAAAGACTACACTGAGTTCTCTGACAGTGTTATTACTCTGTACACCTTTTTGAAATAAAGTACTATTGCTTGTATCTGATTGTTTTTGCAACCACAATCTGTATGTTACCAAGTTAGACCAAGCCAATCCAAGAGATGGTAAAACATTCAAAGCTCCTTCAAATGATGCAGTCACTTGGTTAATGCAAATAATAGCAAAGTTATATTTTTGAGCCATAGTTAGTAACATAATAGCTATTTCTCTCAAATCTTCCGCTCTCTTCATATAATTTGTACTCTCACATCTAAAAGGTGCAGCAATAGAGTCAATTATAAGTGTAGACACTTCATTTTGTTCTAAAAGTCTAGGCAATCTGACTTTAATACAGGAACACAATTCATGTGGCTCAGTAAGATGCTCTACAAATATATGTTTACAATGGTCATTAACAGCAGAAAGAGAATCTGCCATTTGTTTCAATCTCTTAACAGGAAATATATCTTCAGTGCAAATGTATACACTTTTATTAGGCCAACTGTTTAATGCTGTTGTTATTCCTATTTGAGTTTTACCTGATCCACTTTCACCATACAGTTCTGTTATAGTACCAGCAGCAAAACCACCGTGTAATAAACTATCAATATTTTTACAACCAGTTGGTATCTTATTAAATTTTGGGAGTTTCATTAACTTATCACATGTAATACAAGGTGGTTTACAGTAATTAGATATGGCGTCTTTTAAATAGGCAATATCATCTGCTGTTAAGTTTGTGAGTTTCTTTAAATCTAAAACTGAAAGCGTCAGTAACTTAAGAGGTGTACCTATTCCCGCCTTTTCAATTTTTTCGATCATTCTAAGAGGAAGAAAGCTCTGTAAGATATCCATTTCATTTCAAATTTACTCAGATTCCGTAAAAGCTAGATGCTTTACTTTTTTCACTCCTATTTGTAACTCTATGTACTTTTTTAGCTAGCATTTATTTGTATCAAACACCATCTCAAATTCAAATTTTGAATGATAATGTCAATGTCAAGTATTTAAACAAAGAGAAAGAGTCAAAGAATAAGTTACGGGACAGTGCATCTAAAACGTTATAAGACATCACTTAAGTTTTTATTTTACGTGTTTATTTTTATATTATATGACTAATAATCTTGAAAATATGAAGTAATTTAAATTGTAATGTCTTTTTGGTATATCAACACGAAAATAAATAAAAATACACTTTGTTTACAATTGATAACTGAAGCAATTTCAATTTCAAGTGTCAAAATTGTTGGAATTTGTGGGAATTTGGATGTCATTGGTATTATCATATTTTTATTATATTTCTATTATACAGTCCGGTTACAATCACTTAATTTGTATTTGAAACATGTTATGGACCAAATCTTTGTACAATACGGGTCGTTCGATAGCGATACACTTTCACCCCACTGCCTTGAATCGAATTGCGCGAACACAAATCAATGACACTCAGTTGGTAACGATCGCACTACGAGCCGGTTTTACCAGTGCGCCTAAGAGGAAAATGGTAAGTAGGTGTTTTTTAATGTTTTGTCACCTTGAATTCCCCATGAATTTACAAAGGATAAAATTTTTAATTGTAAACTACACAGGTTAAAGTAACAATGCATGGACACTTGTTGCATTTAAAATATTTATGTTTCCTTCCAAGGGTGCTTTATATTTATTATTTAATAATTTGTATAAACGTCTATATTTTTTAGGCAGATAAACTAAGCACTGAAGATCGCTATGGGCTCCTACAGCCCTTAATCCAATCAGGGTGGAAGGTCCAAAGCAATCGTGATGCAATTGAAAAGGAATTCATGTTCAAGGATTTCAATGAAGCTTTTGGTTTTATGTCTAGAGTTGCATTGTTAGCTGAAAAAATGGACCACCATCCGGAATGGTTTAATGTATACAACAAAGTTCAGGTATTTATAACATTTCAAATTATTTTTGAGTAATACATATACATATGTAGGTGCCCACATTGGTTTTTTAAAATTTGCTTATCATTTTATTATTAAGAAATCTCTTTTTAAATTTCATACATTTTCATGAAAAGTCGAATATATTAAAAACATACATTCTATTTGAATAAATGTTTTCTGGTGTATAATATTTTTAAGTTTCCCTTCATCATAAATTTTTTTAATTCAAGTTTTGTTACAATAAATGAATGGTTGACTTTGTACCAACAATCATATGTTAGGCTTTTGTTGCTTCTGTTTTTAATAAGAACCCTTTTTCTTTATTTAGGTAACACTATCTTCCCATGATGTAAATGGCCTTAGCAAGAGAGACATTCGAATGGCTACCTTTATGGATAAAATTATTAATTGAAAACATTCAAGATAAAGGAGTAAAGCATAAATAAATTGTGATGTTACTTTATTTATATTGTAAAGTGCTATTTTGTTCGTATCTTGAATATTTTGTTTAGTTTTAAGAAAGTATATGTTAATAATATTGAAGTATTTAAAAATAAATGATTTATTATTCCATATATTTGATAAGTAATTAAAATCCAAATTATTATTTACTCTTGATGTAACAGGCACACATGTGTTTGTCATTAAGGTATTCAGTCTCAAAAGTGGCAGTTTTTGGATAAGCCTTTTCCATTATTCTTTTAAGTTGTATGGCATGATGCAGATCTCTGGATTGGCACACAATTTTGGTCTGTGGAAGATTTTTTTTTCTTACATTCATGTTTAATAGTCTACTTTAAAAAAAAAGAATTCTGTAGTTATTCGTCACCAGCCAATGGTCTAGGCTAAGTCTAGTTTTTATATCTATTTTACAGTTCGATTATATCTCCCCTGACAATGCCCATGGACATCTTTTATTGTATGAATTCTTTTTATAATAGTTATGCATTTTGAAAATAGAATTGATTTATCAGTCAATATTCATATGGCATTATTTTAGTTATTGTTTAAATATTTTACCTCAACATAGTGTATTTCATCCTCCATCCAAATGTGATCCATAAATTGACGTATTATATTGTAACCGTTATCTGAGATCAGTTTAAGGAGTTCAGCCATTGCCGCAGAATCAGCTCTAATTCCCACCTAATAAAACAAAATCATCAAAACTTAATTAAAACACGAATTAGCAGTACATTAAACGTTATTGTCGGACAATTTAAACTGTGTCGAGGTTAATATAGCGCTAGCTAACTTGAGTATAAAAATTGTGTATTGTGTGACCTTGTATTGAAAATGAGTAGCCATGGTTAACTTGAGCGATCTTAATAGATAATTTCAAAGTTTTTTTGAGGCCAAAAAAAACCGACGAATCCAGAACCTCCATCTTTTAGTGCGTCTTACTTTGCCGCATATTAACACTTGACACAATTTATTCGTTCGTATGGTCAAGCCCTTACTTTAAATTTGATCATTCGGCCTGAAGCTGCGAGTCCTCGTTCTAAAGAACGGTTTAACAAAGTTGCGTCAATATTGCCGCCGCTGAAGACGCACACCACACTATACAAAACAAAATGTGATAAAACCACTAAATAAAATGAGTTTTGAATAAATAAGACAGGATACGATATAACATTTTTTTTTAAATTGATTACCAGGAGTAATAGGTTTATCTACTAATAATCGCTATTTACTTGTTTTCTGTACATTGACAGATATTTTCTGTTATATCAGCAAACGGGCGATAATGTATTATTTACATAGTTTAATAAGTAAACTTGAAAAACAAAAAAATCAATGTCAAACGACGGGCATAAAAACAATCAGAGGTCAGTAATAATAATCAGTCCCGAATATAGAAAATGTCTTATAAATTGTCTCTTTATATAACTTGAGTAGTCAGAATATAAGAAAAATCTAAAAAGAAATACTTTTTAGTCTTCAATTCTGGAACAAGGCTGTTTAGAATTGGAGCCACCGCGCAGGCGGCGGCGCCTTCGATCACGAAACGCTCTTTTTCTACAATATACAAAATAGCACGAGCGATCCAGTCTTCTTTTAGCAATATCTGTAATTATTTTTTGATGAAATAGTTATAACTACACCTTATAAATAGAACATTTATATCACGTATACTTGTAGTTGTTCTAAATCTAACCATTCTGTCAATGAGGGGCAGTGCGTTGTAGAAGGCGTTCACACCGACGTAAGGCATCGCAATACTGTCGGCCAGAGAGTTCTGCATTGGTTTGGTCACAGGCTGGCCTTTTTCCAGTGACTCGAAGAATGTGGGCATTACTTCTGACTGAACACCCTGTTGTATTTAAAACAAATGGAAATATTAACACAAGAGAACTACAGAAGTTTAACACAAATAGTATGCAGAATTTTTGAAACCTACTTTGTTACTGTTTGGACCAGTTAAGTTAGAGGATTTACATTATTACTTTATGATCGCAAACTTCGTAATACTACTTTATATTCAAAATAATTTAAAGTGACTGACATAAACTAGGCAGCTAGGTTTGATGTGTTTGATGACGGTGGCGATGGCGGCGATGAGGCCGCCGGTGCCCACCGGCACTAGGACGGCGTCCACACTCGGCACTTGCTCCAGGATCTCCAGCGCCACGCCGCCGTACCCAGTTAGTACATCCGGGTGGTCGCGACTGTACAATACACGAAAGTTACTCCGTTTTTTTTTTCAATTAATAGAAGTCAAATTGCAGCATTTATAGCAGGACAGCCAAAAAGTTTTTTTTTACGTACTAAAACGGCCTTTTTATGTAGTAGGGCAAATAATTATCTTTTAATAATTTTAAGTACGTTGGAACTAGTAAAGAGACTTAATCCCTCACCCATTAATATATGAAAGCCCCTTATCTCGTGCAATAAAGCGTGCATGTTTTTGTGATTCCTGTAGGTCTTTGCCCTCCACTATCACTTTGGCGCCCAAGTTTTTGCACATCTGCAGCTTTATGAGGGGTACGTTGTCTGGCATCACAACCACCACGGGTATTCCCAGTACCCGCGCGCAGTGGCACAGCCCAATCGCTTGGTTACCCAGCGAAGCCAATACAACGCCGATTTTTGTTTTGTCCCGTGGCAATCTTTGTAATGCATTTAGTGCACCCCTTTCCTTAAAACTGGAATAAGTAATTAAAAAAATAAATAAACTTTTTATTTCTGTCAAAATATTATACAATTATTCAAAAACATGTGTGAAAATTCGCAACAAATGGAAAAAAGGGGGCGTTCAGCGTTATCGACACAGGTTGAGATCCAGTATCGAGGTAGTTTTAGCAATCTTCTATTGATTATTTTGTCATTACAATTTTATATGCTAAATAAATAATGTTATCAAAGCACTGTATAGTGTCGGAATTGGTTATACTTAGTTAGTAAAAATTTATTGTCCATGTGTCTGAGAATGTTTACAATAAGTGTAGATGTTATTGCGTAATCAATATTATCTGCTACCAAAAAGTTCCCACCACAGTGAAGTATCAAACATCAAGGTTAACTCTTTTAGTTAAATACAATATTAAGTTACCTTCCCGTTTTATGGACCGTTTCGAGCTTGTAGTAAAAATTGATTGCAAAATCATTTCGTGTCTGAGAAAGCTGTGGAAATGGAATAAAATTTTAAGGAAATCAATTTTGTAGTAAATTCTTTATTTGACATTAAATGTAAATACCCATGTCGATTTATATTCTAAATGCATGCACATTGTTTAATTGGTCTTGGGATTTTACTACTTTTTCAGTTTTACATATTGTACTTGTTAAATAATATTTATTGGTAACTTTAAGTGCGAGTTATTCCGTATTCCTTGGTACACATAAGACAATTCTAGTAACTATAAATTACTAGCTGTCGCTCGGGACTCCGTTCGCGCGGAATTAATAAAAACAAAAGTGAGTAGCCTATGTGTTCTTCCAGACTCTAACAAACATCCATCCATGTAAACTTTCGCATTTATAATATTAGTAAGTAAGATTACTAACGTAACACGGTGTGACAGGAATAAAAGGCCTACTGGCTTCGGTTGCCTGAACGATGTCCTCAAAATTTATTTTTCTTGGGTTCTCCGGATCACAGTACTGATCGTAATCATCCTGCAAACGTAATAATCATGTAAGTTTTTCGTAAGTACACTTTTATTGCAATAACTTTCAAATAATGAGTTCATGTAATTAACTAACATATCGGCGTGAAGACATTTTGATTAATATGTTATTCTGATGAATATCCTGGGTATTGAATAAATCACTTAGAATTTATCTTTATTTCCACATTGTTGAAACGAGGATCACTATGTTTTGAAAGATGACAGAAAAAGAAAAAGACATTTATTTTGTCAAATCAAAAACGTAAAATAGTTTGCGTGTATACTCCAACCTCTTTGGATGTTTTTTTTTAATCTACAATAATTAGTGGTTCACAACAATGAATAATATCTATTCCTTTCACCCCCCCACCTGGATGGTAGCATACCTTATCGGCGGGGTTTTCACGGAATACCTGGTATTTACAGCAACATTGTAAAGCGGCCTCCTGCGGTATTTCCAACCTGGTACTTATTAGGGTGCTTTAAGATGTGAACATACATCTTTTTAAAAGGCAGCAACGGATTTACTTGGGAGTTCCACTAATCCATGCCTCCTCATTATATCTATACAAACCTACTAGCACGGGTCTTAATAAAAGCAATAAAACATCAAAAGTACTACTCAAGTACATATCTCTTTACTTATTCAATTCTACAAGAGAAGCATTTACACATATCTGAAGTACAAAAGCGCTCTTGTTGAACTTCGCAGATATCCGAAAAGAATTTATTTAACAATCTTTTCACCGATTTTGTGTGTTCTTTATCACGCGTTTCGCATAATATTGTTACCTGTAAAAAAATATAATTAAAATATCGAGATTGTAGTTAATTGTCATGTGTCTACTAAAAAATATGTTCCTTACATTTAACTCGTTAGGATAACTGTCGGAGAGCCACGACTGGTCAAAATCATGGCGGATTATGTTACATCCCAGATGTGTTATAAAATTAAATATTTTCTTAAGGGTATCTAAATCTTCTTTGGGAAATGTTGCCTGTAATAAAGAACTAATAAATAAAACGCATTAAAAGTTACATTTAATACAATAAACAAAATAAGAGACTATATAAAAGTAAATCCTAATACATACTTTTATAGTAACTAAGCGACCGTCTGAAGCCTTAGCCCTTTCAATGCATTTAAAGAGCATTGGTTCCAAATTACCACCGCTTATAACGCAAACAACTCTGCAAGCAATTACTACAATGAAAATTAAACTCTCGTTTATAATATAGTTTTAACTTTATAACAAGACCTTAGACAAATGAACTAGTTTCTTTAATTACAAGATGAGATATAAAGGATCAAAACTACAATTACGTAATTAATATTTCCTCACTTTAATTTATTTATCGCTTAATCTACTGTTGGTTTAACACGTTCAATGCTGCTACAAATTCATACACAATAACGTAAACTCGCAACGCCAGTCTATGGCAGTGAATGTGTTAAAGTTAGGAAAGATAAATTTACTTTTTCTCTCTTAGTTCCCTTAACGCTTTTGGTAGATGCATAATCGCTGCAAGCGTTATCGCGGCTGCGCCTTCTACAACAATTTTTTCTCGATCAATGAGATGAAATATTGCTTTTGATATCCAATCATCGCTAATTAACACCTGGAATTTGTCATCATATATTTAAAGCTAAATGCGAGCAGTTGAAGACACAACTTCCCAGAGAACATAGATGCATTAAATAAAATTGTTACTGTTAATGTGCTACGAGTCTGTAGACTTATTGGAATGTAGTTAATTTAATACCACATCGTCGACAAGATTTCTTGCTGTTTGAAAAGCGTTACACCCAACTGTTGGTACTTGCAATGATGTTGCAATCCCGAGTTCCAGCGCCGTTTGGTAAGGCGCACCTTTTTCTAACGCTCTCTTGAAACTGGGACATTTGTTTGATTGTATACCCTGTGATAGAATAATTTGTGTGATAAAATTATGCTGTCGGTATTAACAATTTATTTAGTTCGTAAAAAGTTCAAGACTAATAGTCTTGTCCCTGTGCAAAGGTATTATAACGTAATTAGTAATTAAAAGAACATTCAAGTGACTGTTGCTCAGTTGCCAAGTGCGTCATGGGTCAAGGATTCGATTATAAGCATAATACATTTTTTATCTACTGTGACTAGCGTCGGGTAAGTTACAACATTAAGGGTCTGTCCCATGTAAATGTAAATCAGCCAGTGGCTGATAGAGGCTCAGATAGTTTAAAAATGACGTCACTGTCAGATAAGGGAACAAAATCCGATATTTCACACGTTGAATTGTTATCAGATAATTTAAAATTTGGTGGAATACTCCTTTAGGCCAGTGAAAGGGGCAACCGCTTTCTCGTATACCGGCTATTTAGTTTTTAAATAATGAAACAAAACAGAATTACATAGACAAGAACTCCAGGTCTGATTCGTTTGATAGCCGCGGCGATGCCGGCGATCAAGCTGCCTCCTCCCACGGGAACTAGAACGGCGTACACATCGGGCATCTGTTCCAGTATTTCAACACCAATCGTTCCCGCCGCAGATATTACGTGTGGATGGTCGTATCTGAATCGTAATTTATATTGTTTTTTAAGTAGTAAACTGAAATATATCAGGATTAGCATCCATGTATTGATAAAGATAAATTGAGAGAGTTTTATAATGAGTCAAGTCAGTGGGATCTTAGCTGTCAAGATTTGGTTTTGAAAGAGTCCATTCGAAAGAACACTGTTTATTAGCTGTTTATATTTAAGTTTATGTATTATTTAGGTTGTCTTTATTGCTTACCCATTAATATAACTAAATTTGGAATTCACTAAAATAGCGAAAGCTTTTCTCTTCGCTTCAGTCAAATCTTTTCCGTGAACAACCACTTCAGCGTTATAATCCATGCAGAACTGTTGGGTACGCAACGACGCGGTAACTGGCAACACCACGGTCACGGGAATTTCTAAGTTTTTTCCCCAGTATGCTAGAGCCTGTGAAATTAAAAAAGAGTCTAGTGGTTATTGGTTTATAGTTACAGACTACGATCACAGATTTATGTATCATATTTACGTTATTTACATGTACATACACTTAAACCTATATTTTACTTTATAACTACCTTTTGCCCGCGACTTTTAAAAAATAATAATAAATAAGTGATAAAATATAGGTTATATTACTCACAGATAAATTACCTTTCTAACGGTGAAAGATTTTTTAAAATCGGGTTAGTAGTTTTTGAGCCTATTCATTACAAGCAAAGTTTTCCTCTTTATAATATTAGTATTGAAAATTATATAAAATAGATATTTACCATCGCCCAGTTTCCAAGAGATGCTGAAATCACACCAAGCTTTTTTTGTTCTGGACTCAGTTTATTTAAAACATAGTAGGCACCGCGTTCTTTGAAACTGATTGGTTTGAAAAATATAATTAATGTATTATTTATATTATGGAATCCTTTAATATCGCATATATTTATTGAATATAAATATTCAAATTTTACCTCCCTGTTGGATGAAAAGTCTCTAATTTGTAGTACACCTCTAGGGGGAAGCGATTATTATTTTTTGAGGTCTTAAAAAAAAACAAACTTGGCATTATAACGTTAAACATTAATATATTACATACGATATTCCAGAGATAAATTAACATGAACTTTAAAAAAGTATTATGTAGTAACAAATTAATATTTCTTACCACTAATGGTGACTTTGAAAATTCTCGTTTAATACTAGACTTAGCATCAAGAATATTATCACATGTAATCGTTTTCGGATACTCTTCATCGCACCACGGATCAAATTCTATGTTTTGTGTCTGAAATGACCAGTGATGATCACTGTATCACTACATGTTGAGATACGAATTAATTTTAAAACAAATAACATGGTAAGCTGAATAAAAATAATCAATCTATACTATTATAATAAAGCGTAAAAGCGTTGTTGCCAAAGATGTCAGCAATTACAGCATATTTTTCAATAATGCTTTTTTAATAACAAGCCCTACACTTACGTCATGCTTTAGGCTATATATTTTCACGCCAATAAACTTAGGGGTAAATATTTTCGATAAAATACCTAATGTGGGAAAGAGACCATAAGTTGCTGCTACAATAAGGAAACAAGATTTGCTATTGATAATTTGACAAATGTAAACAATAAAATAAAATTTTTATAATTTCATGTGGATTAAGCCGCACGGAAACATCTAGTAAAATATATAACTTAAATTGGTTAAAACTATCGTGAGACATTAATTTAAGCGAAAATTAAAAACGGCTCAACTCAAGTTTTTATCCTCCGGTGACGGCACCGACTAGTTTCAGACACTTCGGGGGTCCTTCAGGGCGAGTATTAGTTAGGTTTTGTTCGCGGTCACGTGGCGTCTCTCACTGACGACAGTGACTGGTCTGAAACTATTCGGTGCTGTCTCCACAGGATAAAAACGTGAGTTGAGCCGTTTTTAATTTTCGCTTTAAAATATAATTATTAGATAATGATCAAGATTTATAAACTTCTATCATAATTGTGGTTATTAAATTATTTTTAAAGACTACCCACAACATATTCCATTTAATGGTGTTACGTATTGTTTACATTTTGATTTGGAATTTGTGATTTCTTAATATCCAAAAGATGGAAATAAAAAATATCGTAACATTTTTATACAAACAAATGTATAAACTTACCGGACACCATTGGTACAAACGTTTAACGAAAACCCGCTTAGCGAGCGCACCCGGCGACATGCCTAGAGATTCAGTTTCAATTATAGGAGGTGTTGATATATTAAGAATTTTTGACATTATCAATTTTACTATAATCTTCTAATTATCAAAGAAATTATTTAATTTTTATCTGACAGGATAACCAAGAAATTTGACAATTTTGAAAACTGACGTATCTGGGAGACTTTTTTTCTACATTTCTAGACAAAAGCTGTTAAAACGAGACAAAGCATAAAAGTTACTTTTACTTTTAAAAAGTTACTTTTCAAAACATTTTGCAGTGAAAATTTTGCCCACATATTAATTTAAAAACTATATAGTTTTTCTTAAATCATGTTTTAATGCTTTAAGCTATTGGTCCTTGATCTTGTGCCATATTCTAAGGAAGCGGAAAATTTTGCTTCCCAAAAACCCTTTGATTCCATATTTAATTTGTTTTACAAATAATAAGTAAATTAAATCACACGAATTCAGTCACTTGCTTTATTTTTTCACTTTACATTTTGTAACATGTATCAGTATTCAATGTTTTCAGAAATATCGTCATAAGTGTGGGTTTGATCGTGGTGACACTTGTATTGACACATATTGTCATCCCTTACATTATAGTTGAAGAAACCGAGACAGCAATATGGTGTAAATACAAATGTCATGGCAGTTGAAACCAGCAATAACGTTTTATTTCTGCATGCAGATAGGGTTAGGCGCAAGGCACGGCCCGCGGCGTACTATCGGTTTCTCTGAGCCTCCCATCTCTTGGAAGAAGCACTCCTTGTAAGATTTCTTTACCATTTCCATCAGTTCTTTAGTGTGATCCCAACCACGTGTTTCGGCTATTATTTTCAGCTATAAAACAAGACAATATTATCATAACAATAACTTACCAATAATTGCTTTTTAGTACCTACACGCCTATACTCTAGACTAATATTATAAACAGGAAAGATTTTGATTCTTGTATGTATTGAAATAACACAATAACTACTGGACCGATTTAAATATTCCTTCACCATTAAAAAGCTACGTTATCAGTGAGTAACATAGGCTATTTTTTATTATTTTTTAATTACACGCAGATGAATGATTTATCAGGACAATTCAAATGATCGTCTTCAAATTCAAGATCAAGAAATTATCTAGATGTACCTCTACACTGTAGACGTCTCCTTTAACCCATGCACGCTCGGGGATGCAGTCTCGCAGCGTGACACCACAGGTGGCCATCAGGCTGCACAGCTCGGCCATGCCGCCCGGCCGGTCGCTTACCGTCACCTTGAACTTCACCAGCCGGCCCTCCGCCGCCATGCCGCGCTCCAGCGCTCGCGCCAGTATGGTAGTGTCGATGTTGCCCCCAGTCAGAATACATACCACTCTGTGTCAAGTTTACCACTAGTATCAGTAAGGAAATAGTTTTTACTTTCAACACAATTTTTACATCATCATCTGCAGACAAGTTTTGTATTATCATTTTTATAGTTCATATATGTTTATTATAATGTATTAACGTACTTCTTCCCTTTCAAGTTGGGGAAGAGGCCAGCCATTAAAGCGGCGACACCGGTCGCCCCGGCGCCCTCGACCACGAATCTCTCTTGTTCCACAATGTGCATCACTGCCCGGGCCACCCAATCTTCTTTAACCACAACCTATTTTAGCAAAATTTTAAGAAAATATTAGTACATTTTTGCTTAGGTATGTTAAATGATTTTGTTTTTTATTTATTTATATCATACCAATTTATCGACGATTCCTTTTAAGGTGAAAAATGTGTTAACTCCTACTTTATTGACCCCCAGTCCATCGGCTATGGTTGTGTCTATTGGATAGAATACTCGTTCATTTTTGCGAAATGTTTCAACCATACTACATGTTTTATCGGTCTCTACGCCCTGAAAATATTAAAACAATTATATCGGTGACTATTGAACGCAAAATTAACCTCACTTTATTGAATACCGGCGTGTTTTAGACGTAACTAAACTTTGCCGTTTTCGTGCAACGTTATGCATTTTGAATGAGCTGTCTCAGTGATATCTTTTAAGTAACATAACTTAGGGTCCTTCAAGAGTTTCTGGTATAGACGGCACCGTATCTATCTTAAATAAAATCTATCACATTTCAAAGTAAGACTGACATAGATTTCGATGCTAGGCTTGATGTATTTGGCGCACACTCCGACGCCACAGATGAGGCTTCCGCCCCCCACCGGGATCACTATAGCATCCGCATCGGGCACTGCCTCCATGATCTCTATACCTGTTGTCCCTTGCCCTTCAATCACGTTAGGATGATCGTATCTGTTAAAGGAAATACAAGCAAAAACATTCAGATTTTAAAAGAAATTTTTAACTATATGAGAGGTAGATTAAATTAAGATACGGTTAGTGACAGCGTGGTTGTCCATTTTCGGCTTCTGTTTGGAAAACAATCTGATCAGGCCAAAAAAGCGACTTAAATTAAAAAAATATATAACCCGTGTTCGAAATTTGCAGCATAAAGCTGCTCGTATCTGTTATTATTTTTATTTATTATTATTAAATTTTATTTTTATTTTGTGCACATACCCATTGACATATAGCATTTTTTTCTCTTTACTCATCGTCATGGCGTACAGTTTAGCGTCAGCAATAGAAAAGCCGTGCAGCAAAGGTTTGACGCCGAAACTCGTACATTTACTGATTTTTGTGAGCGGCGTGCGCTGCGGCATTACGACCACACAGGGTATACCGAGACGTGCCGCATGGTAGCTCAACGCCATGCCATGGTTTCCCGTACTGGCTGTTATCACTCCATTCCTTTTCTGTTCTTCAGATAGTAGCAACAACGTATTGCATACCCCACGCTCCTTAAAACTAAAACAGTGGTCAATATTAAATAAATAAAATAATTTTCATATGATAATCATTTTTTTAAGATTTATTACCTTCCCGTATATTGTAGGAACTCCTGCTTGAAATACAAATCCATTCCGAGTGTTTCGGACATATGACCTTTCTAAAATACAAAGGAAATAAGAAATAAAAAATTGTTATTGTTCTAATGTCAATGTAGGGGCTTTTGTATGCGTAACTCTAAATAGAGCGAAAGTTCGTAATTTTTAAACTATTTAACATTTATTTCTTGACAGACTTCGTATTTACTAGTGTTTTTTTTAAAATATAATTTAATTATCTTAGAAGAGTCCTAAAAATGTTGGCTCAAATATAAAAATTTGCCTATGGCTTTAAAATGCGTAAGCAAAGGTAATAGTGAAAAAAGCTCTAGTTCGTTCGTACCACACATGGTGTTTTAACCACGCATCCCACACACCGACGCGAAGCCGCCAATACGTCATCGTATTTGATCTTGCGTGGATTGGCTGGATCACAATATGGATCAAATTCTGGATCCTTAAATAATAAAAAACAATTGGCGCCTGTCAATTAGTAATATAGATTTCTACTAATATACCGTTTTTGCTAAATTTAGATATATATTGACTAATGTTTATTTCTTATTGGGAAACAAAAAACTGCGTAGTATAATAGTAGTACGGATAGGAAAACTGAGACTGGGACATGCTGTACATGAGATTTGTAAAATTGCGAATTAGATAATTATTGGTAAAACAATTAATAATACTTACATTTACGTCCATATTGCTACGTTATTTATCAAAAAGAATTTACCATAATAAATTAAAATAAACTGATTTTTAAATCTAAGAAAAAAACATATTTTTGGTTTAAAGTGACTGTTTATGTGACAAAGAGAATGACATGATTTGTCATTGTGATTTTCAATTTTGAATAAAATATAATTTGAAGGAGAGGATAAAATAAATTATAGTTTGTCTATTTATAAGATTTATTAGAATGATACATGATGCATATGAAGTTCCAAATACAATTCTTATAAAGATAAATGTCGTACTTTATAGACGAGTGATATAGTGACGAACACACACGCATGGCGAACTATCGATATTCGATTTAAACATTTGTTGAACATTATTAGTCATACTAATAATAGTAATGTCGATGACAATAATTACAATAAATTCCAATTGTACTAAGCTCGATCGTATCCGTAAAAAACACCTCTTAATTCTCATTCTTTGTGTTTTTTCTGTATCTCATTATCGATTTGCCTTTTACAAACCAAAGTCCGATTAAAACATTATGTACTATTGTATATGTTTATTTATTGATTTTGAGTATTCATTCAGAATAAAAGACAAAGAGTTCATAAACATTTCACAAAGTATCTGTACCATGACGCTTTGTTATTTAAAAATCAAATCTTATTTCTTAGCCTATAGAATTATGACTTGTTAATTAAACTTTGTTATGCTACAAATTCATATAACATAACCTATAAGGATACAAATAACCTTAAAATGATATTCAAACATTCACACAAATAAACATTTTCATATCATGATTAGTCCTTTTTTAAGATACGTTTTAAATACATTTTTAACCGACTTCCCAAAAGAATCGTCAATTCGTCTGTATGTTTTTATGTGTGTTACGGCATAACTCCGCAGCTAGTGGACCTATTTTTGACCGACTTCCCAGAAGAAGGAGGTACTCAATTCGTCTGTATGTTTTTTTTTTTTAATAATTGTTAACCTGTTCTATGCTTCTATTTAATACTTATTAGAGTGAACTTGTCCCTGATAATAAGGGTCTTCAAGTTTATAGCACTATTTCAGCTCAATTTAAAACTTAAAGCACCTGTAGATCTCTACCTGATTTTTCTCTTACTGTCTCCTACTGAATCAAGGCCTACTTTGTCGATGCAGTTTAATAGTGAATTTGCATAGCGAGTCAGTGCCACTGAATATGTTAATGTGATATATTGTCTAAAGAATCAGTGCCATTTGTCATCGGATCTTCATCGAAATCGCATTCCCGTGAGAAGTACCATTCGCGGTATGTGTTGGCGATGACGGTACGCAGCTCCTCCAAGTGATCCGGACCTCGGGTCTCGCACACAACTTTCACCTGTAATGAAGAAAGAATAGATAGTTCTTAGATAACATAATAAACAAGTTAAAAGGGAAGGGGAAAAATTCTCTTTATGTGCGTCTCCTCCGCCAATTAAGGGTAGGCAGCGCATCTGCAATTGCGGATGTCTATGGGCAGCGGTCGCTTTCCATTTCGGTGTATTTAGGTGGCCACTTGCTCGTTTGCCACTTTATATTATATAAAAAAAACAATATTTTTCATACTTTATGGATGGACATAATTTAATTTAACTAAATTAAGTAAAAAAAGATGGCTTTTCTATACAATATGCAAAAGTATTTCCTATACATAAAGGGCAAATGAAGATGACAGAATCATATGAATGGTTAAATTTATGATTTTGATTTTTTTTAAATCTAACAAACTAATAATGTATAATGAATTGAAGAGGTTATAAACTAACCCGAACACTAAATATATCACCGAAGACCCAGGCGCGTTCTTGCATTATATCCTTTATGGAGACGCCAATAGATGCTATAAGCTTGCAAAGCTCCGCGATGCCGCCCGGCCGGTCGCTCACTGTCACCTTGAACTTCACCAGCCTCCTCTCCGCGGCCAGACCTCGCTCTAGACAACGACCCAGAATCGTCGTATCGATGTTCCCGCCGGATAAAATACATACCACTCTGAAAAATTGGTCCGTAATCATAAACGAACATAACCTAAAAGATGGGGTGTACAGTTTATTGATATTTACAGTTTATTTTTACATTTTAAATTATTGGGTTTATTGTATTTTAAAATTATTGATTTTATTGGTTTTATTGTATATTTGGTTTTAACAATGTAGTATTAAGTTTTAACTGTAATCTAAGTTTTTAGTGGCATTGATGTAGAGCATAGTCAGGAAGAACCGTAGGCTACTTGCTTTTATTCTATTTTACGCGGACGGAGATACGGGCGAAATCTAGTTTCAAACAAGCAAGGTGTATTGTCATTGTTGGAAAGGTTTAGATGCCAAGCAGCAACGACGAACAACAATTTAAAGTATTACCACAAGGACGATCACGTCATTATAAAAAACAAAACAAAATGCACTAAAAACAAAACAAAATATTCTCAAAAAAACAGTACACTAAAAAGTAACGAAATAATTCCTTGAAAATAG